CTCTTTGAAACATTTCGATGGCAAACAAGTTTTTATGACCTTTACGTTTTTTGTTTTTTTTTCAAACAACGACTTTCATTCTTCGGTATTTGGCTACACAGCTATCCATAAAATAAAATCAACATCAATTTGCTGTCGTATAATCGTATTAATAAGGTATTCCGTGTTCATAATCGAATCCCCCTATCAAACTATACAATAATAAAACTCAGGAATCTTTACGCTGCGATCGCTGTTATGCAGTAATAAAGAATTTAAAAATAACTTGGGGAGAAAAAGATGCATAAAAAACAGAATTATTTCATTACGCTAACATCTATTAGAGGGTTACGCAATTAGGCTTAGTTGTCTAATGTTTTTACTGTTCCAGTCAAATGGAAAAAAAGATCCAGAGACGTCGCTCGGCACTGGCTCACGGGCTCCGTGCTCCGTTTCTAGTTGACAGTGCCCCGAATCATCTGTTAGTGTGCTGAAAAATTAGAACAGAAAACCATGATCGATATCATACTGAAATGCCGAAAATTGGCCCGAGCTCCGAATCTTTTAAGTACCCAACGACGCTTCTGGAAATATCACAGTTTCGTTGATCTGAAATGACATGACAAACTGACATAACAATCTTCAGATCGAATGCTTTTTACGTTATTTGTAATAAAATTCATAACTAAATTAATAAATCAAAAATCCAAAACATAAAACAAGAACTACATTTAAATCACTAGTTACAATCAAATACCTATCACTAGGTTTTGTAGAAGGCTACACTCAAATCTCCATCTGGAGGTTTAGTAGAAGGAACAACTTAACTCAATTCTCTATATCTTGGTTTTTTGAAAAGGGGCACCTAAACTAAAATCCCTATCTAGAGGTTTTTTTAGAAAGAGCACCTAAACTCAAATCCCTATCTAGAGGTTTATTTAGAAAGAGCACGTAAACTCAAATCCCTATCTAGAAGTTTTGCAGAAACAGCAACGACACTCTCGTCAGTATCTAGACGTACTGAATTAACCTGATGTTGCAGAAAAAAGTACTTATATTGTGTTTACATCTTTTAATGCGTGGGCGTTAGAACTGTGTTGTACGAATTTTCTAATCTATTGAGTAGTTGTTAAAAAAAAATGTATTTTTATTATTGCCACGTGGATATGTAAATATGATATTAATGGTCAAACGAAATAGATATAAGTATCGTGACATCTTTCTTCTTGACCTCATTGTTTATTTTAAGAACAAACTTACACAGTGGACTATTTGTACTCTGGCCATCACAGGGATTTAACACTGAAGTTAAGCCTTATAAGCCGTCTAACGTACCGCTGAACTACGTGGAGGGCCTTCATGAGTGTTCCATAATGGTAGCATCTACTAATACAAGCTTTTCTAAAGTGTGGTTTAAATGTTTTATAAAATCAGGTCAAAGAACTTTTGTATACTCTGTGGATACGTACAGTATTAGAAATAATTACGAAAGCAGTGAATAAAGTGTGTATCAAATGCAGTGCAAGTATTATGGGATTGTCTCTCGGTGGGTCAGCGTTAAGTTTATGGGTTTGCAACTCTAAAATCCGAGGGTCGATTCCTCGTGGTGAACAGAGCACAGATAGTTCATTGTATAGCCTTGCGCTAAAATATACAAACATACAAACAGGGTACAGCTGAGAGTTTGCATTGTAATTGGTTGTCATCCAACCTATCAGCATAATACCTATAAAAGTACAGGCAGTCAGACTATTCCCAACACTGAAGTGAATACTTACACTCATGACCCCCAGAACAGGATTGCTACACGTGAACCGTGTAGAAATCAATGTTTTGACTTATGAAAGATTACTCTATACGACAAATTTATATAAAATTTCATATTTCATCAGGTGGTTTATGGAAACTCGAAAGAGGACACATGAAACTAGTACTTTTAATAACAGAATATGTCAAGGTGAAAATAGCTCAAACTGTTCAAAATTGATGTTTAGTTACTCAGAATGTGCACTTCACGTAATACATGACAATACATTAGAAATTTTGCCAATCACTTTTTTGTAACAGTTGTGAATTTTTCTTTCGGAGTGAATAAAATACACATTCGTATGTAATGAGTGGTTTCATTGAATGTGTAGCTGCTGGAAAAACTACTGTTTATTGGAGATAACTAAACAAAAACATTGAAATGAACATTAGTCCTCAAATAATGGGATGAGCAATGCTGGATAAGAATTCTCTTTACAGTATCTTGGCAATAAACACGCTAATTTGTTTGATGATAGGGAAGCGAGAGCGAGTGATATCATTGTTAATATGCGACATCTATATTGAAATGTTGGAAAAAAAATAAATGATTAGGCTGCATTTCAGCCAACTGGCTGAAGATCTAGAAAAGTCGATGGCACCTTGACTGCTAGCAGATAGAAGCACATTTTCGTCTACCACATCATTTTCTCAGGAACAAGACCTATTGGGCAGAAATTCATTTTTCAGTAAGGTTGTATGGGCAGACCCTCGCGGGAAGCTTATAACTATTATTGGGAGGGCGCGGCATGGCCAGGTGGTTAGGGCGCTTGACTCATAATCTGAGGTCGCGGGTTCGAATCCTCATCCCACCAATTATGTTCGCCCTTTCAGCCGTCAATCCCACTATTCGTTGGTAAAAGTGTAGCCCAAGAGTTAGCGGTGGGTGGTGATGACTAGCTGCCTTCCCTCTAGTCTTTCACTGCTAAATTAGGGATGGTTAGTGCAGATAAGCCCTCGTGAAGCTTTGCGCGAAATTCATAACAAATCAAACCAATCCAAGCATAGAGCAAAGGTGGTGAAACTATACTGAGAAAGAAACAAAGACCAATGGAATATTTGAAACCATGACTCGGCCTCCACAGAGTCTCGATATTGATATTATTAAGATTGTCCAGGCTTACATGGGAACTAAGAAGTTCAAACAGCAACTAAATTGTAAGGAGTAATACAGGGCATTTAGAAAACATTTCACAATCACACTTAGATAAACTAATGCTAGCATTAAAGCAATGTATACTAGTCTATTTAAAGCAAATATAAAATATCAGTGCATTGTGCAACATATTTGTTTTTATTTTGTATATTCCGTATTGATGCATTTTACAAATGATAAACTGACTTTTTAGCTGCCATTTTTCTTTCTTTGTGTATCAATAAATTACTTTCAGTACTGTATACTTATCAATATATCGAGATCAGTTATTCTCGGAGACATATAGACGTTTATTTTCAATTTTAACCTTTTGATGGTTACTGTGCCCTGTATGCAGTACCAAAAAATTCGACATTTTTATAATTTTCAAGAGTCACATTAATTACTTCATTCCATACTTTACTGGTGTGACCTCTGAATATCGTGTTAAGTTGTTATGTATGAAGTAGTAAGTTACGAAGCACTTTCAGAGCGAGGGAGAGCTTGCAAACTCATTACCGAAACTGCTAAATTAACCGTTGAACAGAAGATTCCTTAAACGTAAAAGATGCACAATGAACATTATTTGAGAATGTCAAATGACCAGGTCAGAGACCCCTGAAGTTCAGGTATAGCCGTCCGGGTTTTACCCGGCATTGAACTCAGTAATGGGATTGACTGTCACTCTTATAATGCACCTAGAGCAAAAATTACAAAGCTTTATTCAGCGATGTCGAAACGCGAACCTTGGACCTTACAATCCGCAGACCGGCACACGAAACACTAGGCCATTGTGTTTAATGCAGAAAGATCTTAACAATTCATCGGTAAAATACATACACAATGATAACAAATGTTATAATACGTAGTAGCTACATTAATGTAGAAACACTTTTTTACATTATTATTCCTTATTGCAAATAAACTGTCTCAATGTTTGCATTGCAGTTTCAACACCTTTCCTGTGATGCAATCCGTCATACAGTTTCAATTTGTTTTTACCTAACGCAGCTATTGACTTGTTAAATACTTAACAGCACCCTTTAGCCTGAACAGGCCCATCAACTACACACCTAAACTTCCCTTTAGTATTTTGACCCATGATAACCTAGAACTAACGTTTTGGGTATTTACAAGCGGAAATGTGGGAACAGTTTCACCTGAAGGTGGGAACCTCTCGCTGACATGAGAAACTGGTTTATTGGCTTTTTGAATTTACAGAAAAACATTCGCTATTTTCTCAACTGACTTTGAAGTGTTTCTTCTGTCAGTCACAAGAATCTAATATTATTTTTTCTTCCCGTATTTGTAACTCAGATTTTTTAACTAGGTTAAAAATTTGTTTGTGTGTTTCGTTCAGCTAGTTTTAAATGTACCAACCACCTAAAAAAATAACAGTTTGGCCTTTCCGTAATGATTAAACAAATATCACATTATGAGTAGAATTTCCAGACAAACAATAGCTACTTCAGGAGGTATTTCAGTAAATTTGATATTTATTGGAGAGTTTGTTTAAGTACAAAGCTACACAATGGGCTATCTGTGCTCTGCCTACAACGGGTATCGAAACCCGGTTTCTAGCGTTGTAAGTCCTCAGACACACCGCTGAGCCACTGGGGGGGGGGATTAGTTGGAGAGAATAAACTGAGTAACGTATATTTTAGCCATTGGTGGCCAAAATTTTAGTGTGCCCGGACAGTAAGGCAAAAGTTTCATGGTTTGCGTCCTCTTGTCGCAAAAACGTGCTTCACAGTTAAGATTTTTTGGTACACTATAATAGTGACGACACCCCCCCCCCCAACCACACACACACACACACACATCTAATACAACAAAACAAACAAACAAAATCAAACTATGTTTATAACGTTTACGCAACAAGATACATTTCCAATATCGCATTTATTATCATTGGCATTTTTACCAGCTCTATTATTAACTTGCAGTTGCTAAGCAACAGCCGCGTTGCTATGTTTATGTAACAAGAATAGTTTATTAAGTTAGTTAGATTCAGTATTTAATCAAACAGTAATCACCATTAATCTGCCTTTTCTACCTTTGTTGCAGGTTTTTCTTAAAGTTTTCACACTGGCTGAGTGTTACTCTAGCGAACTGTAGTGACATGGTTTCTTGCCGCCGACAGTTTTGGAAGACTATGGTCCTCCTCATTGCAGGACTGGTGATAGAAGTGTGTGCTCGGAGAGGAGGTAGGATTGTTCTTGGTCTAAATTCAGTAGAAACTATAATAATATTAATGTAATTAGAGTTAATCTGGAAAGAGTTTTATTTATTTCATTTCGGAGATGAACAGTGTATTAATTTTACAAATGAGACATTCGCGGCTAGTAAAACAAGGAACATGAGGAGTGAGTCGTGTTTAGAAAGTCAATGAAAAATCTGACGTAAGGTTGACTAAGATATAACCAACAGTCTTAAACTATTGCGTTTCGTGCTGAGCTTAGTGGATTGTTCGATTTTATACTAAAACACAGAACGTTTCTCAAAGCTAAGAAGTTGATTCTTTAACATAGCAACGTTATTTACACAGAACGTTGATTCACTTCTTTATGTATCTATACATATTGTGAGTAATACGCGCCAGATTACTGGTTTTTAATTAATTCATTTTTACCCCTATTTCATGGATAAGCAAGACTTGATGCATGTAAAATTTTAAATTAAAATACGAATATACCAGCCTGCATTGATAAGCCACTTTTAATAGTAAATGTTTGTATACAGGGTAGCCCAAAAATTTGTTTCCCCCTCATTTAAACCTCTGTACACGGATAAAATTTCACTTGAAACACCAAAACTTATTAATTCTTTGTCAATCTGTGCTTAGTACGTTTGCATACTTTTAACATAAACTCGTACATTGATGTAAAGCTGATGGAAATTAAAGGTTTTTTGTCTTTGGGTAAGTAACTGTTGGTTTAGTCTATAACATAAAATGCATATATTCTTTTTTTATGTTAACTGTGCTTCCTTCTTTCTGTTTCTGGGCCGAGTGTGGCTTAGTGTGCCAGGACTGTGAATCCGAGGATTTGTGGCTCGCTCCCGTTTATGCGAGAACGCGCTCTTCACCTCATGGACGTGAGTTTACTATAAAGTGACGGTTAAAACCCACTGTTCGGTAAAACAAGAACAGCTAACCCAGGAGTTGGCAGGAGGCTCTGTCGACTAGCTGTTTTCCCTCCCTTCTGTCACTTAAAAATTAGGGACGGCTATGCGCAGATAATCCCTTGTATAGCTTTGTAGGAAGTTTTTAAAACAAGTAAAAATTTATTTTTCGAAACTTCTCAATTCATATAGATTGTTTGTCATTATGAAATAAATATGTATACATAAATACAATTCTATTTAGGGCTAGAATTTTGATATTCTTCAAAAATAAAAATGCCTAAGGATTTAAGGCAAAAAAATCGCCCCAGTGGTACGGCTGTATGTTTGCGAACTTAAAACGCTAAAAACAGGGTTTCGATACCCGTGATGGGCAGAGCACAGATAGCCCATTGTGTAGCTTTGTGCTTAACTAGAAACAAACAAAAAATTCGTTTAGTTATATTTTCACATTTTGTAAAAGTCTGTCAAGTCGTTTGCTCTCCTCTAACTACAAGATTCAGTGTAAGCCTAATAATATTGTTGGGAATGTATCTTTGTTGTCATTGAATGAAATATCTATATAAATATAATATCAATACTTTACAGCGTGTGGATGGATCTTCACCAAAATTGGTATGAAGGTTCATTAGACCCGTGGGGAGATACATACAAATTTTCAGTTTTGTGTTTTGCGGTTTTTATGGGTGTTCTTTACCACCAGTTCGTCCTCTGTTGATGGATCTTCACCAAATTGGGTACGAAGGTTTGTTAGGTCCATGCGGAGATACGTGCAAGTTTGCGGTTTCACACTTTATGTTTTACAGTTTTAATGAGCATTTTTGTGACTTCATATAAGGGAAGCAACTTTTCATGTACTAAGATAATCCTTCATTAATCATAATTCACATAATTTCCGTCCAGGAGACGAGCACTCCATCTGGTTGGGAATAAAATTTCAAATATAACCACAAATGTCTAAGAAAAAGGAATTAGAATTGAGTTTAATAAATCAACAAAAGTTAATTTCTGAAACAGCTTTACCATTTGGAATGTTTCATGAATATTGCTGGAAATCGTTCACATAAATGTTGAATTTAATTTAGAAAATCGCTTTATTTTCAATTCACTCATTCTTTCGATATTTTAATGAACTTTATAATTATTGCTTTCACTCACTAATTTCGGGTGATCAGAAATAAACGTAGCCTTCTTTAATACTTTTTTTTCTCGTAAATCCATTAAAACATACAAGCGGTTCTATCACCTTGAGAGCATTTCCTGTTCTTAGCCCTTAACCTTTCCAATTTTATTTTGCATGCTCATGACTGTCTATCCGCTTAATTTTTTTCCATTTCCGTCTGTCTGTCCTTTTGCTTCATAACATACGTATATGTGTGTGTGTGTGTGGGGGGGGGTGATCTCATACATAGAGTTTCATTACACTTTACCCTCTCCTCCCCAAAACGCGAGCTGAAGAAGATGACTCCACCACCTTAGGTGTCCTAGGCTTATCTCTTAATCCTTCCAAATTAAGTAATACCAGTAATATTTATTATTTGCCATTGAGACAGTGTTTTACAATAAGGTTGGAATGATACAAGTGGTTCCAATACCATGAACGTCCTTCCTGGTCATGGTCCTTAATCCTTCCAATTTTATTTCACACGCCTAAGCCTGTTTTGGAATGACTCATGTCTCTGCTGCTGTTAATGACGCGTATATTATCTTTCTTTTCTTGTTCAAATTATTTTCTTATCGTCAACTTACATGTTTTTTTACTATTATTTTTATGTAGAGCCGAAAATAACAGGAAGGGGTGGTCTCGGGTACCAAAACTAAGATGGATATTTCAAAATAATATTTTCGTTAGAGAAGAGGGGGGAGGGATAGTGTCTAAAGTGAAAGCTATATTGAATATGGGTGGTACTCATTAGTACTCTAGCCTAGGCAATTGATTAGTACAACTGAAATATTTTGCCCCCAAAACAATATTTTAAATGAGTGTTGTTGAGCTTTGACAACAGTGGCAGTAATCAAACCAACGAGTGCGACAACTTGATCCTGACTGGTGTGTAGTCAGAATGCGCTATCGACAGTTCTTGGTTATTATTATTAATTGATTGAAATGTAACATGCTAACCCAAAAATGCTCATTGTAAAACAAATTCTTAAAACAAAAGTCAGTAATATCTAACAGGGACGTTTTAGACACCATTGGACGTTAACAACAGATAATCAAAATCGCTAGATATAAAGTGGGAAGTAAAAGCAAAGCCTTGTTTACTACATCACCCGCAAAAACGACTAAGCTGAGCTAAAATACAACTACTTACACTTCCCCGCCTTCCCACTTCAACCTTGAATTCTCTATCCACCCTTTTCTTTAATTATTGAATAAAATCAATTTTGACCGTCCAATTAGAAGCGTCCACGTACGTACGTTTCAGCGAATCGCACACTAGTTAACATACAATTAATGATTCAAAACAAACAAAAGGATATAAATATTATTGCGCTATCAAGTCGTGGACCGGTTTTAAAGTAATTTCCTGAGACTCAAATCTGTGTCTTATTTCAGTACGCTTTAACGAGCATCTATTACAACAAACAAAGCTTTAAGAAGCGTAATAGAGTTTAAGAGCTGGCGTGTCTTGATTTTTTTCAAGTACTTTATCTTTAGAAACTGCTGATTAGCTATTGGAACGTTAATCAAGAGTATTTGAAGTTAGGCACAAAGCTACACAATGGGCTATCTGTACTCTGCCCACCACGTTATCAAAACCCTGTTTCTAGAGTTGTCAGTCCACAGAGTTGTAAGTCCACCGTGGAGGCGTTATAATGTGACTGTCAATTCCACTATTCGTTGGTAAAAGAGTAACCCAAGAGTTGACGGTGGGTGGTGATGATTAGCTGCATTCCTTCTAGTCTTACAATGCTAAATTAGGGAGGCTAGCAGATAGCCCTCGTGTAGCTTTGCGTGAGATTCAAAACAAACAAACAAACCATATCTTTAGCCATCCATATTTAACCAATCCACCTCACTATTAAGTTACCAGTCTACCAAATATCCCACATAGTTATTCATCCATCCATCTACATGCCTAGCTATCCATCTTTAACCAACCTACCGAATGAGTCACCTACCAGTCTGTCACATACATATCTGTCTATCTAGTCTTAACCTAGCTTCTCTATCATTTACTTCACTTTGCCCACCAAACAAACATCTATCTATTTAAACAAATAATTTAAGAAAGTTTTGTTTACAATTCCTTCAAATACATGTGCATCTGCTCAACTTTGAAAAGAGCGCTTTCTTTTGTTATGGGCGTGGCTCATTTAGCAATCGAAATAACTATTCAATAAACAAATAAATTTAACTATTTTTCTCAACATTTCAGAAAAGAGTATCAGTTACCGCTTGCTCTGCTGCTCAATGCAGTAACGAGTTTCGAAGACATGGTTAACGATACCGGGGCTTCAAATGTATCTACACCTGTTTAGTAGGAGATATGGGTTTTTATACAAAAACACGACATGCTGACGACATGTGTTTTTAAGACACATTAAAATAGTCGGCCTATTTTCAAGCTAAGTCACGCTAAGGAAGTCTACTACGGGCTTACATCTTCTATTAAAATGAATGACTCAAAGTGCAATAAGTTAACTCCGATTTTTTTTTGAAGTGAACATGAGATAAAAAAAAGACTCATTTGTAACAGTAATGATAAATTGTTTCTGTCAGTGGGCCTTGGGCTTCAATATGATTGCTACTAGAGGCCGTGCCTGATAATATGCACGCCTGCTGGGGTAACTTCGTTTATTATGGTATGAATGATGACCGCTAGGCTGCAACACACCAAACCTTGCGGATATTTGAGCAGATGTTCTTTGAACAGTTTATAGGAACATACTTAGCCACTTTATACATATATTTTATCTATACGACTGAGAAACAAATCCTAAGCTTCTGAAAATAACATTATAGCGTTACCTTTAAGTTATGTGAAAAAAATATATATGTATAAAAGTGAAACAATAACCAGAGCGTAAAGATATTTAAAAAAATGTTGACCGTAAGCTTAGAAATGATACTCAATCG